AAACCATTGGACAAGGAGGGCATCCAGGAGGATTCCCAAATCACGATTAGACATCTCCCTTCGTCCGCAGGAGAGCCATCAATTGTTTGGAGCGCCCTTCAGACCCTGTGCGGCAACAGAATAAATCAAATAATTTTATTAAGGATCAGGTATATATCCCTCCAATGGTCATCATTTGCGCAAGCAATGGCCCACAGGGTGAGGTGTTGGCTCATCGGCTATTGGATTATACATTCCTCAATGGCGGCAATACCTAATTCCTGAATAATATGAAATAATTTATTAATTATGGACATCAACTATATTTGCACATTTCACCTCTTCCATGTGGAACCGCTAAAATTAATATATCCAATATTTTTTGATGAATGATTCAGGTATTTTAACGGATCTAATCATGGATAAATGTTTCTGTTCATTTCATATAATTTGGTTTGGATAGCCTGCGAGGCACCAGGGAGGCAGGAAAGGACTACTTAGACAGCCTACGAAGCACCAGGGAGTTGTATTTCCCCAAAGAATTATTTCGTCATTAATATCGGTAAATCCCGTAAACAAATGCAGTCATAATTCAATATCCCACCGTATATTCTGGAATATATAAAGGTAATCTTTTAAATATTAACGAAAAAATAAATTTCCGATAATCATTTAATAATTAAATATTATCAATGATTAAAAAATATTCTTAATAATAATCTATATTAGGCATTAATTTAAAATATAAATTCAATATAAATTATACGATATTAAATCCAATAAAAAAAATAAAAATATTAAAGCAATCAAAAATTAAAAGTAAATTTTCAATTCTAAGAAAAATCAATCAAAATATCGGTCTTAATAAATATCAAATATAATCAAAATATCATTCTTAATAAATCTATTATATATTCAATAATAAATCGAAATTATTCCTTTACAAAAAAAATCGTTCGAAATATTCTAAAAAAATTATATATCTATATTTTATTCAATATAAATCAATTCGTAATTAATTAAATATAGAATATTTTTTTATAATAATTCTTTTAGAATTTCTATTCATTAATTATTAATATCTATTTTTAATTATATATTATTATTATTTAATATATGTCTTTTTATCATTTATAGTTATATTTTAATCTTTATTTATATTATATATTATAATTCTTTATATTAATAAAAATAATTAAATATATATTATATTAATTATTATATTAATTAATTATTACTAAATTAATATAAAATATAAAATTAATTATATATATAAATTAAAAAATTAAATAAATCATTTTAATATATATATATATTAAATCTAAATTAATTTAGATATATATTTTTAAAAAAAATCAA